GAACAGCGCCCCCTGGCAAAAAAAGTATTCCGCCACCGCTTACTTCGAGTAATGGACGGGCCGGCCCTGCTCGTGACCCACCCAGGGGTCCCGACCGCAGGTTGAGAAACCTTGTTGTATTGGATCACACGTCGGACACTTCCCAAATGTCCAGGACTGTGTGATATATCGGCAAGCAATGTGTGCAGATCCCAATAGGGTGGCCTTTTGCAGCTGGCAGATGGTAATCTTGTCAGCACTAATTGTGTTTAAGTGCAGGCCAAGGTCTTTAAGTGTACTGATCACCACTGGGACCACCTTGACTGCCTTGTGCCACAGTCCTTGCAGTTCGATCTTTAAATCCTCATATCGTGTCAGCTTTTCCATTGTTTCTCTTCAATCCTGCTGTCACCTGGGATTGCAACATCACCAATCCATACTTTATTATAATTATAATTGTTATTACAATTATATTATTATTATTATCATTATCATTATTATTACTATTACTATTATTATTATTATTATTATTATTATTATTATTATTATTATTATTTTCTGTTGTTCTAGACACTAGGAAATGGAACAATGGATTCAAGATATGATTTTGTTTCTTGTCTTTTGTTTATTTTTAGAGGAAATACTGGGTGTGGTCCCCAATCGAGGTATTACAGACACAAATATGAATATATTCCCCATTATCATGGGTCTCCAAGATGGGAAGCATGTCTTGTCCTGTGCTGAATCTGGTGGTCAGCCTCAGATAAAGATAGTGGTGAGTTGCATTTATGGTTCAAGTACCCGTTTGCTTGTCTTTCACCTACTCTTGGGTATGTCTGTTTGTACTCTGTGTTAAACACACCCCGTCATCTCCATTCCAACGTATTTCATATTCTCTTCACAAAGAAGCAATCATTCCGTCATCATGCATGTATCCAGATAACAGTCTTCTCTTTTTAACCATTCCAAGTAAGCAGGGAGGCTGGGGAAAAATGGGATATTTTTAAAACAGTTGAAAAAATAGGATGAAATGAATTATTTGGGACTGTACCTGTCAAAATGGGACAGCTAGGGATATGCTTTTGTTGCGTGTCAGCTGTTCAATTTATCTAATAGTGAAGAAAGGATTACAACATAAACTGATTAAGGTTCTGGGTACTTTTTCCTTTGTGATTAGCAAAAAAGAGCCTCTGGTGGCTCAATGGGTTGGCAGGACTAGTGACTGACAGGTCAGCAGTTCAAATCTGGGGAGAGCAGGTTGAGCTCCCTCTGTCAGCTCCAACTCCCCATGTAGGGACATGAGGGAAGCCTCCCACAGGATGGTAAAACATCAAACATCCGGGGGTCCTCTGGGCAACATCCTTGTAGATGGCCTATTCTCTTACACCAAAATCGACTTGCAGTTTCTCAAGTTGCTCCTGACACAGAAAAAACAAACAAAACAAAAACAAAACTTATTGATAAATTATGAATTCCTTGCTAGTTATTTGGGTTCTTTTTTTCAGAACTGCGATTTCCACTTTGAGGAATTACTTTGTTATTTGATAGATGAGGAAAGCAAAATAAAACAATTGTTTTTAGAGATAGTTAGGGCTTTTTTTTTTTTGCATGAATGAGTTCTATGTGGCAAATTTCAGTGTTTCTCAACCTGGGGGTCGGGACCCCTAAGGGGGTCGCGAAGGGGTGTCAGAGGGGTTGCCAAAGACCATCAGAAAACACAGTATTTTCTGATGGCTATGGGGATTCCATGTGGGAAGTTTGAGCCAATTCCATCATTGGTGGAGTTCAGAATGTTCTTTGATTGTAATGAATTATAAATCCCAGTAACTACAACTCCCAAAAGTCAAGGTCTATTTTCCCCAGGCTCCACCAGTGTTCACGTTTGTGCATATTGATCTGGACTAAACTGTACCAAGTTTAGTCCAGATCCACCATTGCGTGAGTCCACAGTGCTCTCTGAATATAGATGAACTACAACTCCCAAACTCAAGGTCAATACTCACCAAACCCTTCCAGTGATTTCTGTTGGTCATGGGAGTTCTATGTGGCAAACTAAGTTACAAATCCATTGCTGGTGGAGTTCAGAATGCTCTTTGATTATAGGTGAACTATAAATCCCAGCAACTACAACTCCCAAATTACAAAATCAATCCTCCCCCAACCCCACTAGCATTTACATGTGGGTGCATTGGGTATTTGTGCCCAGTTTGGTCCAGTGAATGAAAATACATCTTGCATATCTGATATGTACATTATGATTTATAACAGTAGTAAAATGACTGTTATGAAGTAGCAACAAAAACAATGTTATTGTTGGGGGTCACCACAACATGAGGGACTGTATTAAGGGGTCACGGCATTAGGAAGGTTGAGAACCACTGGAGTATTTTATTTATTTATTTGTCTCACCTTTTATCTCTCTAGAAGAGACTCGGGATCTGTCAAGGCATCCGTTGGTAAAACAACATAACCTTATTTGCTCCCAATTCATGTTTACATTTCAGGAGCAAGATCTCATGATTCTGTATGGGAAAAATGAGCCACTCAAGAATTTCACCTTCTTGAACCACACTGAAGGCGGGCAACAGACTTGTTCGTTTGAATCTGCAGCTTGTCCAGGTTGGTTCATAGGTACGTCCACTGAGCCAAACAAGCCTGTTGGTTTGAGTCATAAAGGAGGTGCCGAGATCACCACGTTTTACTTTGAGAAAAAATAATGAACAAAGAGAACCATAATTAAATCTGGCAGTAAGGTTCTCACTTTTTCATACCAATCAATGCTGTATTTGCTTTTAAAAAACATTAAATGCAAGATACGACATACACATGAGAGTTGGTAAATGTAAAACCAAACCTCCAAGTAGAATCGTTGTCCAGAAACCCAGGTTTGTTCCTGATATGCCAATAGTTTCCAATTAGGACTTATAGATCAAACTGATGAAGGCTTGATGAAAATACATAATTCACATATTGGAAAATATATATTTGATGTAACCATATTAGAAATAGGAGTTAGAAAATATATAAGAGAAATGTATGTATGCATGCATGGCCTTCACTTCTCTTGACTTCTTAAAAGCTGCAAAATTAGAGAGGCCAGCATCTAGGAAAAGGAATGTCTAGAGGCCTGGCATATTTCAAGAGGCCCCATCTCGGTACCAGGCACCTTATCGTAAGACTAATGAGGTGTCCATTAAGAGGTTTCAGGAAGACCTTATCTTAGGATGAATGGAGACTCTTGCTATCAGGTCCGGTAGACATTCTGGCGATGGTCCTCATAAATAGCAACTCTTCAGATAGGGATGCTAATGAAGATTGACAAGATGTTGAGTTTGAAAATATGCTATTGAAGTCAATGTAAAAGTAGAATTTTGTGACGCACATTGTGATGTCTGTATGATGCATGCATAATTATTTTAAAAAGGTATATAAACCAAGGATTTCCTTTGTTCTGAACCCTTCTTTCCTGGCTTACCAGGAGGGTCCATATCCGGTTGGCGCCATCCGAGAATAAAGCCATGCTTTTCAGTTCCCAGGATCTCTCTTTGTCTCTTTTCCTCAAACCTTCTCCCTGCCATTTCAAAACATCACTTTTATTGCTTCAGTGATCAGCGAAAGATGCTAGGGGAGATCCCCAATTCTGGCATGCCTTCTGTTTACAGACATCAGCATTTTATAGACATTCAAAATAACAGATGTTTTTCTGATTGGTATAAATTATGCTCTGTGGTTTCATTGGTTTGATGCACCATCATTGTTGGCATGTTTTACAGCTTGTGATTGGCGGATATGTATGATGGGAACTTTAATAAAGTTTTTATTGCATAAAACCTGAGTCTGTTGCAGTGTTTGAATTTGTCTCCCTTTTTTTTATCAGGGGGCTTTCTAGGCAGAAAAATGGGTGCACCCAAAGGTGGTTGTGTTCGCTATCAGGTTGGAATGGCCCTTAGATTAGGGGATTTCCTAGTTCCATTGAGGAAGCAATGGGGAGACGGGCTGCGGTGATGTGCTTTGGGACCACTTTGGGTAGACTTCACTTTGTCCCTGTATGATCGGTGTGACGATTCGCGAAGATGAAACTAATTTGTGATTAGGCCACCAAGTTGTAAAGGTTTGTAAAGGAGCCACCACTCTGTAAGGGCTTATTACATTGATAGCATAACTTACAGCTAATAATATTGATTTGGTCTTTCTTCTGTGTAGCGTGACTTAACTTGGAAAGGAATTGTAACAGAGGCAAGGCTTTAGGAAAAACAGTAAGAAGTTTATTGAAATGTAGAAGGAGCGTGATGGTTTCAATGTTTCTCACTCTTAGAGGCACATATCTTCAAAGGTTACATTTATAACATTCCTTAAACAGCTCTGGAGAAGACTTTTCCTTCCACCAAACAGGTTTCAAACTTATTTTT